GGACCTGGCCCTCCCCTAGGTCCACTCAGCCTCAAACGCGTAACTGCTGTCGTGTGTGAACATCGTCACTGGGGAGACAAAGGCGGCCGGGCATCGTGGATCCAAGTCCCGGGCGAAGCCGGGTCATGTGTATGTGTTTATGTGTATGTCTGTGTGTCTCTATGTATGTGTGTATGTATGTGTATGTGTTTGTGTGTGTGTGTATGTATGTGGGTTTTTTTCTATGTCTTTATGTGTATGTCTGCGTGTCTGTATGTATGTGTGTATGTACGTGTGTGCATGTGCTTGTGTGTATGTATGTGTGTGTCTATGTATGTGTGTGTATGTGTTTCTGTGTATGTATGTGTGTGTATGTATGTGTGTTATGTGTCTGTCTGTGTGTCTGCATGTATGTGTGTGTGTGTATTGTGTATGTGTTTGCATGTGTTTGTGTGTTTACGCTCGCATTACACAAATGTGTTGCAGGTCTAAGGCGTTCCTTGCGCAGCATTGCCGCTTTATTATTTCAGTCGTTTACTGCCGTACGCACCCTGAAAGTCGTGTGTGTCTGCAGCAAGCGCGTGTATGTGTACCTATGGACGCACGCGCGTGTGTTGTGTAGGGGGAACGGTAGTGTAGTGCTTAGCGTGCTGCCTGTGTCTGTGTGTGTGTCTGTGTGTGTGCGTGTGTGGTGTGTGGGGAGCGGTAGTGCAGTGGTTAGCGTGCTATCTGTGTGTGTGTCTCTGTCTGTGTGTGTCTGCGTGTGTCTGTGTGTGTGTCTGTGTGTGTGTCTGTGCGTGTGTGGTGTGTGAGGAGCAGTGGGTGTAGTGCTTAACGCTACGCTGCGCTACCAACCCAGCGAACCGAGTTCGATTCCCGCTCACGGCCACCACCGGTGACGATTATTTGAACCTCCCCTAGGTCGACTCAGCCTCAAACGAGTAACTGGTGTGGCGTATTAACATCGGCACTGGGGAGACAAAGGGCGTGGTGGATCCAAGTCCCGGGCGAAGCCGGGTCATGTGAATGTGTGTATGTGTTTATGTGTATGTCTGTGTGTCCGCATGCATGTGTGTATGTATGTGTGTGTATGTGTTTGTGTGTATGTATGTGTGTGTGTATGTATGTGTGTATGTGTTTCTGTGTATGTGTGTGTATGTTTGTGTGTTATGTGTGTCTCTGTGTGTCTGCATGTATGTCTGTGTGTATTGTGTATGTGGTGAGGGAGGGAGAGTGGTGAGGGAGGGAGAGTGGTGAGGGAGGGAGAGTGGTGAGGGAGGGAGAGTGGTGAGGGAGGGAGAGTGGTGAGGGAGGGACTCAGCCGCAAAACGAGTAACTGGTGTGGCGTATTAACATTGCCACTGGGGAGACAAAGGCGGCCGGCCGTGGTGGATACAAGTCCCGGGCGAAGCCGGGTAGTACAGCTAGTAATAAATATATTGGTGGTGCACAGAAACCCGTGTGGGAGGGGAGGTTGTGGAGAAAGGAAGCAGATGCAGTTTATAATCTTCAAAATGAGCAGGTAAGTATTTTAAACATGTTTTATTTTTTCAGAATCAGAATCTGTATTTATCCTGGAGAAATCTTATGAGATATGAAGCTCTTTTTGACAGATGTCCAGTAGAGGGACCTGGCCACACCGGCCCGCTAAAGACCAGCCACCACTGGCTGGGAGCAGGAGGGTCAGATGGGCAGTGCTTTGATGGGGTTGGAGGCCTGTTACGATGTGGTCGGAATGTTTAGGGTTCCCACCACCCCACCCTGGTCCACTACTGTGCCCTGGGGTCCTTGGCATCATGAAACCTGAACCACGGGTGGCCGACTTGCTCAACACGCCTGCACTTTAAAAAGCCACGCTGGTATCCCATGGTGGATGGTGGGGAAAAAAATGTTTTAAACAAATGCCGTGTTGTAAATAAAAAAAATATTGATTTTTTTTTGTTACAATCGTTTAGACGTGTCTACAAAGCAGAACCGTGTTTTGGTCAGGAGTATCTTACCAGTTTATAAGAATAAAAATGCTGTTTCAGGGAAGCCTTAAGCAGTCTCAACATTTTTTAAGGAATGTCCTGCTATATTTAAGTGGAAAGTTTTGGCAATTCAATTCGCGAATGTTTCATAAGTGAGAGGAAACCAGAGAACAGAGAAAACCAACTCAGCATAGAATCTCTGCACAGATGGATTCAATTCAATTTCTGTACTCCCATTTCTAGGCCACCTCAGCCCAGTGAATTTGGGAGTTTCACACATCTGTAATTCACCAACCCTAGCCTCCAAAGTGCTGGATTACAATCATGTTTCACCATGCCAAGTGTTTTTACCATAATCCCAATGAGAAAGTATTTTTAACCTATAACATGTTCTTAATTACATCTTTAGATTTAAATGTTTTTCATGGCTAAGTGTTTAAGATTGTAACGTATCACCTTTTCATGGAAACTTTTTTTACGTGCAAACATTAATGCCATATTTGGTTAAAGATTTAAGTAATTAATTATTGCTTTCATGAAATGTATTTAATTAATTGCAGTGCACCATATTCTTTGAATAACCATTGCATTGCAAGGGCACTGAGCCAGAAATGTTGAGATCCCGGGTTCAAGGCTAGAACAGTGAAAAGCCAACATCTGGTGTGCAATCTCATGATTATAATCTAACTATCCGCATACAGTTACAACACAACACAGTTTGAATTTACGTAGCTTATAAATGCAACCACATCTCAAGAAATGTATATAAATGGGGGGAGAACTTGTTTTATAGAGAGAAATAAGCAGTCACAAGCGGAGGATACAAAAGGAAGGGCTTGATATCCTGGACTTGAACAAGGGTCAGCTGTATAAGGCTCTGCCTCCTAAAACAATTGATATGTGTTTCATGCAACCACAAGTTCTGTGAGTGTAAATTGGGTGATGGCGAGTGTAAAAGTTAATGCGGCTTGTCATTTCAGCAGGGGGCGTCCACCCGATTTGGCGGTTTAGGGCAAGAACTGCCGCGTAGAGTAACCGAGTTGGCTTTTGTAAGTGAAGCGTATCATTCGTAAGAAGCCGAAAAGTGGTTCTGGTTCACAGTTCATGCACTACCCCAGCGACTGTCTAAAACCGCAGTCTCTACCAACTTAAAAGAGTACGTGTGTGGAACTCAATACTGTACTACTGGACATTGGCAGCATTCTCACGATTCACATTGCAAGTTGTGCATCGGCGAGTTTCCTTGCCCTGCTCGACTCAGATGCTCTGGTCGATTAGTACAAGCGCACCGAGAGCGAGAGAAGCAGACAGAATTGGTATTGAGTTGACGCTTTAGGGAAGGGCAGTGTTCGGATTAAAGCTCTTCCCTTGGTCAGCCCGTGCAGTGGAAACAAGCATCAAGTCACATAAGCAGCCATCAAACATTCCTGGAAATTATCTTAACGTGTCTGCTGCCTGAACCAGGCTTTGACAAATATACATAGGCCACTTGACGGCGTTCGTTTTTTTGATGCAAACAAAATCCGACGCGCAGATGGTGAACCTCGTTTGTTGGTCCGTTTCGGTGCCAATCTCATCGCCCACACACACGTGCGCGCGACGCTTCAATGTTTTTGTGTAAAAAAAAAAACATCAAAAAGTTGGTTAATGGAAAACATGTTGAGGACTTGTTATAAACCACAATCAAGTGTGTACAGTACACAACTTGCACACATAACTCAACGTGATTAAAGCGTACAGAATTTGTGTCGGCGAATAACACGTGCCGGGCTAAGATGTAAGGTGCAGGATTTTGAAACAAGGGAACTCGATGAATGCACGCTCATGAACACAGGCTGAATGTGAACTTGATATATGTTTTCTTGGTTCTTTCGGTAAGGTCACGTAGAAGGGAAGTAATAAAATAGTAAAAATAAAACATAAAATAATTCTCACGACGTTTCGGCCACAACGCAAGCAGCCGTCACCTGAGGACGGCCGCTCACCTGAGGACGGCTGTTTGCGTTGTGGCCGAAACGTCGTGAGAATTATTTTATTATGTTTTATTTTTATTATTTTATTAGTACCCTTCTACGTGACTTTACCAAAAGAACCAAGAAGATGAATCCCTGCAGTCACGAAAGCTTTAAATCGAAAAATGTATATATGTTTTGAATCCATATATTGTGTATATATATAGAATATCGTATCGAGGTGCAGTGACCTTTTTATAAAGTTTGAGCTTGATGCTGCGCTTCTTGACGTAGATCGCACTGACAGACAATCTGACGCACGTGCCCAGGGGGCCAGATCCACATATAGACCAAACCGCTAAGGTCCATCGCACTGCTACGGCAATTCACCGCAATCCTCACCATTGTCGTCGGCTCGTTTTGCCAAATATTGTACAAACGGGAGCCTTTCAGTAACAGCGCATGAAATGGGCCCCAATATGCGTTTTCAGATGAATGACTGAACACAGGTGTCCAAAGAAAGTGTCAGGATCTTGCTTGTAACATCGTGTCAGATTGTACGAACCCCAAAAATATCGAGTTAAACGGCTTGGAAATGCAGTCCAGTTGCACTATGATAGATTATAAAGGTAAATTTGTCGTTAAAGCCATAGCATCTCTGTGCATTACTACAAGTTGTTTTGTCTGTTTTGACTTTGATTGAACTTTGCAATTCGTATATCACATTTAAAAATTAGCACTTAAATAATTAAAGTATAGGCATAACGAGATGGAGCAATAATATCAGTTCCTGTGTAGGTGCTTGGTGGATTTATACATTTCAGAATCGTGATATGTGGCAGCAGCTTGGGTAGGCCCTCATCCAGCAGTGGATTGACCATGATTGATGATGATAACGATAACGATGAAGAAATAATGACGCGTTTGGCACCGGGCATGGTCGGTAGTAAAACAGTAAAGGGAAGAAATTGAATATACACAAAGAGGGGGGGGGGGCAACATTATAACAGCCCTAGGGCCCCCCTCATCCAAACGCCAGGCTGGTCCAAGGATCAGGGCACTGCATCTGGTTTGAGTTCAGTCTTTCTCTCTGCCACAGCGGCGGGACGACCGGCAAGGAAACGATGGTGAGCATTTTGCCGGCCGTGGCGGAGCAGCTGCTGGCCGAGATCCACAGGAGCTTTCAAACGAAGGGCAAAGGTCAGGTTCAAACTGAGGGCACGCTGGGCCGTGGCCTCCAATGGTAGTTTCGATTTCCCAACGTGATGAGGGGTTACACTCCCGTCTCAATCACAATTTGATGTTGATTCTTTATGTTAACTTAATTTGCAATTGCTTTTGATGTTTTTCCTTCTTTGTTTACATATTAGTACAATAATAAACCTATATATCTGTTTAATGTTTCTGTTGCTTATTTGTGTAATTTGTGCTTTGATCAATCTGAAAGTAATCTGCCCGAGTGGATTTGCACTGCAGGGAATTTAATATTTAGCTTTGATTTAACATTGATTTGTGTTTACAATAATTTGACTTCCTCATGTGACTAGTTTTTTTATTAGATTTTGGTTTTGATTTGCTAGTTGCTTAATCGCTGTACTTTGTTTTGTTTGTTTTACTTTTGTCATTTGTAGTGACCCAGATCATCACGCTTGCAAATGAGTCTATCTCCTGGTCTCTTGAGTTCTCACCTGGTCAAACAAAATAGACCTGAAACTCATTTCCCAACAACAGTCACCACGCGGGTCAATGGGGGCTGTTGCAGACGTCACTTGCCATCGATGCTAGCCGCACCTTCGATGAGCACGGTTGGCTACGTATGGTGCAAAAGAAATTCAACATACATATTTCTAGATTTGAAGCTTTCGTGACTGCAAGGACTCATACTCTTAGGTTTTTTCGGTAAAGTCACGTAGGTAAAAAATAAAATCAAAAATTACTAAAAGTAATAATAGAAATAAAAAAATAAATCACGACGTTTCATACATAGCCATGGCCGAGACTCACCGAGCTTGGAGTGCAGTGTGCAAACCACTGTGTCACCGCTCTACCCCATGATGCACGATGATGTATTGTGACCAAATAACAATAGTACAATCCTAGCGACTGGTATAAGCAATCGGGGTGAACGTTATACGATTGTGGCCTCCCAACTACTGTCCAATGCCAAACGCATTTCACAATAAGTCCAGCACGAAGAAAACTGCTCATCCCTCATACTTTGCACACTCTTGCTTATGCTGCATTTTAAACATCTTCTGGTGGGAAAAACATTTCCGTGGGCAATCATATTTCATATTAAGTGATGTTGATCTGACATAGCAGTGTGTAGTGTTTGTTTCCCCTGCACTGTTGAGCATTTCACGGCTTCTCTTAAGTTTGTGCGGGGACAAAACTAATCTCATCGGGTGGGATTAGTGCTGAGAAAATAAAGCAAACTTTCTCGACAGTTCAGTGCAGATGAGTGTTACTGTGTCACACCTGTGCAGCACCTTCAAGGCTCTTGTGGTGTACGCAGGTTGCGATTCGTTAACTGCAATGTGGATCCTTCAATCGCAACACGTTGTGTCAATGATGAAATACGTGCAGGCACGTTAACAAATAGATATAATAACACAGAAAGGTGGTGCTGTTCACAAACAGCATGAAGGCATGACTCCCATCATACCTTGCATGCATGTCATAGGATTCCCACATTGCATGTACAAGCAACCCCTACCCCAGCCGGTCACCTCTCTGTCGGCAGTTGCTCAGCTGAATGACCACATGTGGGATTTCTACGTTTGATCCAATACTGCAGTCGCTTTAGGGATTGAATGTGCCCGTGCTCGTTATCATTAAATCCCTGTGTTTCTGACCCCCCCCCACCCCCCTCCAGTGTCCGTGGTAACAGTGCATTGTCAACCTGGGGCGTTTGTTCCAGATAGGTCTGTTAGGCGGCAAAAATAACAAGTGTGAATCAGGTGGCTTGGGCCTTCATTGTCTGGGGTTGTATTGACCCTGACCATACACTGAGAGTCAGCTCGAGATTATGCTAGACAAAGGGAAGGCAGAAGGCATGGCGCTGATATTAAAAAAAACCACGGATAACGCTAACTATATAAATAAGAATACTGTATATAAATAGAATGGGAGTTAAGATATAGAATGTGTCGCTTGCTTTTTTAATTGTTTCTTTAAGTAATCGGTCTACTGGCTGATGTGTTTGCAGTCACATAGGCACCGGGAGTCAAGAATTAGCAGCAGCTAATAATTCTGTATTTATTTTTTAGAGTAAGGATTCATTTAATATTGCGTCTTTCATGTAAATTGCATGTCAAAATCGCTGAGCAACCACATACGCAAGCTGGAAGGCTGCCCAGGTGGTAAGCTGGTGCCAACAATTGCTTTGCAGGACTTTATATATTAAGATAGGTTTCATGCAATTACTGAGTGTTTATGCATGTGGGAGGGAAACCGGAGCACCCGGAGAAACTCCACGCGTGCGAGGGGGCAACACTCAATCCCATACATAAGGCACAGAATATATCAGTCCACACTCTGCTGTACTGCATTCTGTTGGCAAGCCAGCGTATTGCACTTTCATGCCCAGAGTGCTGAATTACAGGTGTGCGCCACCATGTACAGATGTTTACGTATTTTTTTTGCAACCTTGGTTCATCCTCAACCGGATATAATTTGCCTCTGGATTATGAAGAGTTAACTGTAATATGAATCTTAGCCATTCCCTGAACAAATACTTGAACTGATACTCATTTTAGGCTGAGTAATCTTGGAGTAGAGCCTTATCAGAAACTCATTTCAGACCCAAGGTTGCACTGTATTTTAAATTTGCACAAAAACGATTGCAATATTGTAAAAAATGTCACCTTGAAAATAATCCATATTTTAAAGCAGGCAGAAAGACACAAAGATTTTACAAAGGCCATACATTTTAACGGGATAAAAAACACGTCAAAAAAGCATTGAACTCCATGGTGAGGTAATACAGTAACAATACCTTTAATACTGCAGTGTTAATAATTTACGATTGTTTAAAAGCCACTTTAGCCATTGTACAACTGGAGCACGCGGAGCTGATAAGCAGGAAGGCAGAGGTGGGAATTGCGGAATCCAGCCCCTATCATCACAAATGGACAGGGGGACACAAGGGCTTTTGCCATTATTGAGTTAATGTCTGGAACCAGAAGCCTGCCCCTTTATCTGACACAATAAATGATCCTGTTGACTCACCTCCTAAGCGAGTTTGGGCAATCTGGTGCTCTTGAGCAGCCCATTAAAGCAATAATTACCGTACAACTACAGCTCCGATTTAAAAGTGACAAACTCCAGCAAAAAGGCATATTCATTTTTTATTCAGTTGAAATTGATACAATAAATATGAGGCCTATTGCCGCACACTAGTGAAGTGTGAGGCAATACATGTTAAAGGTTCTAAAATGTCGTGGTTTGGCCAGGTAAGACCCGGTTTCAGAAAGGCTGGCTGTCCTGGTTACTTTCTACCGAACCATTTTTCGAAAGTTGGGATTTTGTCCCAGTTTAAAACTTGATGTCTTCGTATTCGACTCGTTCTATGGGAATAGAGTGGGGGCTACCCTGGGTAGTGGGTGGCGCTGGCAGATGAGTGGACGGGGCTGATGTCAGAAAGAGTGAGGAGGCCACTCACTGTGCAGAGGGGCTAGTGATTGAGTGGGCGTGGCATGTAAAAGTGGGCGGGTTTCCCAGAGGGAGCAGCTTCTAGTTCACCAAGTGTCTCCTCTCCGTTGAGCCTCCCAGAAACTCTGTAGTTTTAAATAGGCATTCTAATTAAAAGAAACAAGTCGTGTAGCATACAAACAATACCCTTTTAGAAGTAATTGTAGCTCAAAGATGCCTTATTTCAGACGTTGTTTGTTTTACGGTCATGGCCAATTAACTTGTTTAACATTGTGTGCCTTGTGGGTTTTGTCTTCCAGTATCTGATGACCTGCTCAGTGGGTGAGTGTTTATTCAACGCAACACGGACACTCAACCCATACAACAACAAGAACCTAGCAAACTGTGTTTGTGCATCATATTTCCACTCTTGTGTGATTTTATATAGTTCATGTCAACTTTGCGACGAGGAAACGTGCTTCGCAAATACCACACGGCATTTACTGGGCGCCGCCTGCATTCAAAGCTCAGAATACATTCAAACTTGTCCTGTAGCAAAACATGCTGACTGCAACACTGTATTACAGCTTGCTCTGCCTGCATGTAATTAATATATGCTGAATAAATAAAAAGCGTGTACCGATTCACGGAAAAATATGACAGTGTTGGTGACATAAACACATTTTTACTGCATAGGTGTTCACAGTTGTGTGGTACAGCTCCGATGTGTTTTACCAGTTGTACCGTGTATTGTTCGACTTGATGTCCGACGTTTTGCTCCATGTGCTGGAAGATTCTTCAGGAAATGAAATATTAATTTTCACAAGAAGGTCTCGAACAACACTTGTTACACCCCATAAGCTCATCGGAGAGCTATACAGGTCAACAGCGACACACCTACGCAGTGGATTCAACTACTGGCGATTCGCCGAATTGTCAAGATCCAGGGTTGCCCATTCAATCCAAGGATCAATTCTTTTATTCACCTTTTTTTATCCTCCCATTTGTATTATCTCTTCAATGGCGTCTCCTTCGTGTGTGGTGATTTGATTTCTGGGGACACAGTCTGAGCTTCGTGTTCGGCACCGTCGCTCTGCAAGCCCTGGATTTGACCGACCGGCGCTACGTCTCGCACATCACGACACCAAGCGGCCGCACGGCCTACCAGGTTTATACCGATTGCCTGAGTGACTAGTCGACTGTCTACACTCGCACACAACAAAGGCAAAGATCCCCTGTATAGCCTTCATAGCCTGTTGGGGCAAGGGCTGTTCGTGAGCACCTATGCGGGCTGCAAGCAAGCACCTACTAAGGCCACTACTTACTCAAATAAAGTCTAAACCTGGCGCAGGGTTTTGCCAAATTCGAACATATGCCGCTGGAAAACATTTGTCTGTGAAAACAGACCATTCCCCATTTATTGATTTATTTTCCTAATATCACATACACTATGTTCGTTGATAAGTCAGCATTATACATGCCGGTTGAGCTCACATGGGACTTCTTGCCCCGACGCTCGTACGTACAGGTGGTGGGAAGCTCGGGGAGAACGTACACAAGTCTGGCACCGTGCCTCACCTGCCCGTGTCCCGCCTTTCTCTACTCCGTTCTCAAGCGCAGCGAGACGTTGCTGGTACGAGCTAAACATACGGAAGCATAGACCTGCCGTTCACTTGATTTGTTTCCGCGACGCACCTTTCGTCATCTTACGCGTTGCTAACACGGGTCGATATCCAAATCACCCAACCGCTTGATTGCCACGTTATCGAGTTCAATCTGGCAATTGATTCCACCTAGCGACGCGCAATTGTATATGCCATATATCCCTGGCTGTTTCCATATAAGTGCAATAATTACCCAAAATCCATGTTCATGTTTTTGCAGCTCAACTTTGTTTTCAAAAGTAATTCGGCCAAGCCAAATTTCGTTGCAGGAAATGTATCTTGTTTATTATTGATTTATGTTTGTGCACTGTTTAGATTTTCTTTTTGTAATGTAGTTGTTTTTGCTCAAATTTCTAATTCGTGTATTTTTGTTCTAATTGTTTTACTTTGTTTTCATGTTATTTGCTTTTGCCATTTGTGGTGGTCAGGTCACTCTTGCAATTGAGTCTCTCTCCTGGTCTCTTTGAGTTCTCACCCCGGTTAAACAAATGTTACTAAAGGGGCAGTCCTCGACAAACAATAATGGACAACTTTGCAGAGTAGCTGCATGTTCACATGTAGTAGGCGTGGCGCTTTTACCACAACGGTGCGAAAATGATCGTGCCGAATTGGTTATAGCCACATGGATGTGAAAATGAGAGTAGTGTCAAGCACAATTTAGCTCTTCAGTCTAGTTTATTATTTAATTGTCGTATATGTTGCCTCTACTGCATGGGTTTTGATAATTGTAGTTCTGCAATTCCTTCCTTTCCGAGTAATTATCAAAAATGCAAACTTTGTTCTGGAATGTTGAGACATACTCCATGGGAGGCATAGCACAAATAACGACGCTGATGGAGATGATGATGACAAGGCAATGTGGCCAGCTGGGTCCCATATAGATTACAATTATTTGTCGTGGGCATGTACGGCAGTCTGATCTGAATCTCAGGCTGCTTGCCACCATTGAGTTATGAGCCGAGGGAACTTGCTTTTGCGCTGAGCGATGGCGGTACATAGGATAATGACTGCTGTGAGCCATGAGGTCGTGATGCCACTGACACACGATGAGTTGTCGTTACTTATGCCTTGTTGACATTCGGGGCACCGTGACACACAGAGGTGTCCTTGCCAAGTTTCGGTTTGACAGCTTGGAGATCTGAGCACCGCTGGTGGAGGTTCGCAATATGGTGATGAAGTACGGCATTCTCATCATCCAGGGTAGACCATGTCCAATCCTCCTGCCTTCACCAACCAGCACTGACCAGTGTGGTGAAATATGATCAAACAATCCCCATGACCCATATGGCAAGGTGAGACCCTCATCTAGCAGTTGATTGATACATTGGCTGTACATGTGCATGAACCAATTATATCCAAGTCGTGTGTTTCAGCACACTGACACACTGTTTTTATTTTACAGTGGTGGTAGACATCCTCGTCAGGCCCTCTTTTTCCTGAGAAAACATTGTAAACTTTTGGTGCAACAAAGATTCAATTTTTACATTATTTTTTGGAGTATTTATTTGTTGCCTACACTTTGTCGTCACAGTAACCATGTGAAATTCGAATACTTTTACACAGCACTGCTCCGTTCGTGCAAGTTTGTTGGTCCCATACTTGACATTAACGAAAGTATTTCTGGTGGAGAGGAAAGTAAAAGGGGGTTGGGAAGTTGACAGAGTAACTAAAAAGTATAAATTTAACAAGCAATAGGAGGGCCTGGCATTCCTTCTGTCCCTGGTGGCATGGTCTGCGTGGCATGCGATGCACATCCTGTTTTGACACCTGGTTTGTATTTCCACATTTTGAGACACCTTTGTACTATGACCAAAAACAAGTCAAAAGATTAAAGAAGTGACAACGTCTGGGTGGCCTGTTAGGGCACTTTTGAGGGCACTCAGTGGTAAACCATTAAAACATTTTTTTAAATAAAAGTAGCAGATTTAAATATAACTAGTTTTTCACACCCACGCTTGAGTGATATTGATATTGCGTCCTTGGCAGTCACATCTCAGATAGTCATTACAATTCATATTTTATCCTTCAGAGCTTTGGGAAATTAAAGAGCAAGGTAAAAAATGTAACGTTTTGTCCCACACTGGCATGAAGCCAGTAATGCTGGAAGGACGAGGCCAGACTTGTTCATGGGGGGATGTGAAAAAACAGCACGGAATACGTTTTCTTGAAAAGATGCCCAGTGCTAGATTTAGATTTACAACGTGAATCCCATCCCTATGGGTTTTTTCAAACCCTCGTTAAAAATACTTTTATATGAGCTTCAGCTTTAGTTTGGGTAAATAACTGCCCAAACAGGCTTAGCCAATTTACACGTTTGTGTCTTACACACTTTTGTGGGGCCATAAAACAAGGGAAAGATTTATGATAGCATGCGGAGTCATATGCGATACTATCACATTTTGTTTAGAACTGCTTTTTGTATTTAGTTGGTTGCCCTTCCCCGCACCTCCAATTAGTAGGGTTGGCTACGTACTGTGCGAAAGAATATACGTACATATATATGGCAGGGCTTTTGAGTTGGAAGCCAGGGTTTTACAGCTGGCAGCAGAAAATTTGGAGACCACTTGTCAGCACACGAGGGCCCTTCAGGCACGAGTCAGAGTGCACAGTGGCACTCGGCACTGCGGTCGTCGTTAGTGTTGTCACTGGTCTGCCGTCGGCTTACAGGTCATGCCAACTTTTTCCCGTACGGTGCTGTCAGTTTTTGAGCTGTATCCTGGCTGTTATGAATTTACCAATTATCGCATCCTTGGATAGATGAGATAGATAGATGACCATATGACCGAGTCAAAGCACATTTCCCCATTGGGAGGATTGGTGGTGAAGTTGTTTGTGCGCTGTGCTGTTAACTGCCACGACCTGAGTTCGATTCCTGGTCATGACTACCATCAGTGATGATATTTGATTGGTTTATGAGCTCCCTCGCGTTACAAACTTGTATTGACAGCATGGCTAAATATGGTCAAACAAACTACCATGACTGACGTAGCAAGGGGAGGCCTTCATCCAACAGGAGATTGACAAAGGGCATGTGTACAACAAATCATTGCAGCCAGGGTATCAATGCGATAGTTCTTGCCTAACGATTGGAAGGTTGAGAGTTTGAATCCCATTCAGGGAGTTGACTCACTCTTTCATCCCTTCTTGGTTAATTCTATGAATGTAACATTTAATCAATTCGATGTCAATACTGAAGTACGCGATACATGGATTGAATATCATGCCAAAAAATTGTTGTTTTTCACGTGGTCCCGTATACTCACTCGAAGGCGCTACAATCACCACATTGTAAAAATCCATTGTTGAATCAGACTGTGTCTCAGATTCGCAATAATTTGTAAAATCGGCCAGGGGTGGCAAATCGTTATACCCCTAGGTGATATACACTTTATGGGAAAATTCAGAATGAGAATATTTTTTTTATACTGGAGGAATCCAACGAGCTATTTTTCACAGGTAGGGGCAGGTCAGAACGTCATCACAACACCAAACAAAATCACTATCGGAGTGCAAAGTATAGGAAAGTTAAACAATTCACTTGAACAAATCTACAAATAAGGCTATCTTACCAGGCAAACCTCACTGAGGTATTAAGTTATTTTTCAGAAGCGACCTGGCCACAAATGATAGCTCAACAAAGTGGCTGATCATGTGGAAATGAATGATTAGCAATGATTACCATGCGGATAAACAGACCAAGGCCATAGCTTTGTGGATTTCCAACAACTGCCTCAAGGGCACCAGTGGAGATCGTTTTTGGGCCAGAGCAGAAACTGGTACCACATTTATTTCCCGTGACTATTAATAGTTGACAATCCCACTCAAATTCACTCTTATTGGCCACATGAGGAAATTGGAAGCATCTTCTTGGTTCTTTCGGTAAAGTCACGTAGAAGGGAAATAATAAAAAAATAAATAACATAATAACGCTGTCTTTCCGACAGAAAGACAGCGTCTCATTCAGACGCTGTCTTTCTGACAGATCTGTTCGACGTTTCGGCGTTGTGGCCGAAACGCCGTGAGAATTATTTTATAATGTTTTATTATTAATTTATTATTTCCCTTCTACGTGACTTTACCGAAAGAACCAAGAAGATGAATCCCTGCAGTCACGAAAGCTTTAAATATAAATTGGAAGCGTTAAAGTCATGCCTTCATCAGGTAGTACCGACGGGAGAAATATCTGGTCTGGGCTCGCAGACTAAGAGGCGCGCTGTCAAACTCTCCGTGAAGCAGGGAGACGGTTTTTAATTTACAGCTTTTTTTGCATTGGCATGAACTTCACACTATTTCCCTGCGTGAGAGCAAATGATAAGTGATGTTATTGGGCACATACTATAGGAGTCGTTGTTGTGCATGACATTCGGGTGTGCCGTCTTCAGCTAGAGTTGTCAGACTCGGGCAAAAGAAGGGGGGGAAAAACATTGAATGAATGTGGCAAACGTTACGTATATTACAGAAATTCAGTATGACGAGTCCGAGTTTGGATATTTATCAGGACAAACACAAACTAAATAATTAAACAACCCCATTTAAGAAATGACATCTGTTTTCACTTAAAGTATAATTTTGAACGATAATGGAAAGTATTGTGGGGGCTGGCTTGAAGACAGATTTATATAGTCAGTGCCTGTGTCGTGTGTCATGGCGTCGCCGCACACTTGGACCCCATCTTTGCGATTGATGGTAAACAATAATGCGGCATCAATTTCGTAATTTCTGCGGATTTTCGAGAAACCTTGCCAACGAAATCTACCAGCGTGCGCTACAACACATTTGACCTTTTCCCCCATACACCCATTTGGCACAATCCATCTAAGGGATTAATCTGCTGGACTTCCCAAGGATCCTAAAAGTCCAGGAAAATTATATTATTTTTACAGTCTGTTGTTAATCCATTGCTGGATGAAGGCCTTTCCATGCTGCCTTGGTCTCGGCTGTTGTTTGATTGAGCTTCATCGTGCTGGCC